TGGAATCTAGTAAAGGAGTTACAAATCAATATTTTAGAAGCATTGTAAAAGTCAAATTCGACCTTGATGAGCCGTTATGACCAGATTTCTTTTTCTAGGGCCATATTCCCCCAAATTACTGTATCTTACAGCCGGAAAATTTGCAGATAGTCTTGCCTCGGCAGAACAGTTTTGGATGATAGTTTGATCTGTTTAAAACAACCATCTATTCGTAAAAATCATTCCAATGGGAGCGGATTGCATTGGTTAAAAGTCGTTCGTAACTTTTCCCCCTATATCCTGTATCCAGAACCCAGCCAAATTTTAGTTTTGGGTGTGGGGTTCGTCCGCATCCTTGAGAGATTCCCGAGCCAGTGAGGAAGATGCTAAGCGAAAGAACTAGGGTGGGCATTTCAAGCCTTTGAGGGATTCGAACTTTCTGATCTCTCTCACTCCTCTCCCCTCTTCTTAGTTAATCCACTGCCTTGTATGCAGTAAATCCTCGAAACTGAGGCCTCTATCTCTACCTCCATCCTACCATCTTCTAGATCTAAGGCCTACTACCTCCTAGCTGTCCGTTCCTCATCGTTCGACGGAGGGGGGAGGGGGGGGGGGATGCAGAGGAGCCATGTGCATAGAAGAGGCGTGCCCTCCCCCCCTCACTAGAAAAAAAAAATGAAGGAAACACAAGTAAGAAGGAAAGGACTCATGAAATGCATGAGAACAGGGTCCCAAAGTTTCTGTGCCCTTCCACTTCTTCCATCCTCGCCACGTTTATGCTATAAGGTACGAGTGGATCTGAATCTTTCTATCTTTGCTAACTATGATAGCATTTCCAAATGACCTAAAGAGTTGAAACTTTTTATCCATTACCTTTTGTCATGTATGCGTGCAATGGCAGCATATTTAAAAAAATTAAGATTACGTTGTTCATGAGATATCAATAATTGGTCTAAGCTAAGATTCGGAGGCGAAACCACAAATTTCGATGAATTAATGCAATGTTGGTGTTTCAGGCATGAAACAATCAAATATCTGTTCTGAAATTCCACGCATTAAATGTTGGGAATCTCTTGGCAAAGATAATGCAAACCTAATTTGTATGACTTCTGGAATAGTTGCTATCCAAAAATTAACGTAGGATGGGGCTCTATGGGAGTTTTGAACAAAGAACAAACAAGACAATCTGGCTTCCCGTGGATTGTTCTTGAGTTACCAAAAAATGTTAAACTGGTCCTTTGGATGAGAAGCATCACCATGGTATTAACTTGAAAACCCCCTTTCCACTAGTCCTGCCCCCCCCCCCCCCCCAACATCACGACATGATAAAAAATGGCGCTCCAGTATGAAAGAGAACCAATTATAGATCCAATTATAGATAAGAACCTCCTTGACGAAATATCAGATCATGATCTTGAAGACCGCACTTCCCCAGTACTTCCCACTTTCCCCATTTCCGCATGCAAGTGAATGTCTTCTACGAACGGATTGTGTTTTTTAAATTTATTATAAAAGGAGCTAAATGTATGGTGAGCCCCGCTGTCATGTGGTGGACAGGCACATGACCCCCGCCCACCATGGTGAGATCCTCCCAACACCAGGGCTGGCAGAGTGCAAAACCTTGGAGAAGCTGTTGTCAACGCCATGGGAAGGTGACCCATGACTCAGGCGTGAGGACGAGTGTGAAAGCACGCTCGCATCCACGCCTGGACCTCTCCCGTTTTTACTTTAAGCTGTTAATTCTATTTTCCTTTATGACAGAGAGCGGCCCTTAATGAGAAGCAAGAACAAGAAGATCCTGTCATTTAATTGGTTAGTTGTTTGGGGCTGATTACATTTTAGGTCCACATGTATCTGAAGAAGTTGATTTATATTTACGTCCTAGCAGTTTACGATTTTCTTTACTTATGTACATCGTCTTTCAGTTCATTCTGAATTTACCGAATTAACATCCTGTCGGAAGTTGTTTATAGGATAGATGCCCCATAGGAGGAGTAGGTGTTTCCAGGTGCCAGCTGGCCGGAAGGGCCTTATCAGGCGCCCTGGTGAGAAGAACTGAGGCAGGGTTTATTTGAGAACAGGATTGTGGACAGGGGGAGGACCTTAGAGACTCTTTTGGGGAGACGTCATCGACGAACCAATCGCAATGCTTTCCTCCTATGGCGGCGTCCTTCTGAGATGTGTGAAGTACACGTTACTGAATCACCTTTCCAGCCTTGTTACTATGCCGACAGAATTTTATGTCCTGAACATGGCTTGCACACGTAGTGCTCCAATCACAGGTTTTCGGAAACTCTAGGTTTGGCCTAATTCAATGTTTTATATCATCCCCATGCTAGGCCAACGTCAAGGAGAATCCATAATGGCCGTACCTGTATGTGCTTCACAAGCATAACGTACCAAATACAGTGTCTTTCGCTTGGCTTGGACTCTCTTGCATGCAGAACGTCCCATGCACGAGTATCAGGGTCAAGTGAAAAACATTGCATGTCTAACTGGTTTTAGAAGGCACCACCATTGCACTGCATTTTTTTTTAAATAGTTGACATTATGTAGATGCTTACAGGACTGACGTCTTGCCTACAGTTTGGGGTAGATTAGGCGAAATTCTTCACGTTGTTGATTCCAATTCTGAATAGTTTAAAGGGACTTTGTAAAACATAGTTGCGGGCCTATCATTCTCTCCAACTGCTGAAAAAAAGGCACCTTCAGCCACTAGCTTTTGACACAACTGTCATTAAAAGATATCACTTTCTGGGAAGCAGCTGCTAGCATATCGTTGTGAACTGAGAGTAATGAACAGGCTAGCACTAAAATTACATCATAAGATGTTAAAAGTGTTAGCACTTTGAAGAAAGACACATCTGAGTCCTTTGGTTCTTGCAATGTACAGATAATGCTCTGTCCAGGATGACATGATGTGGTAAAAGGAGACTCAGAAATTAGCAAATCATCCCCCCCAAAAGTAGTTTGTAGGCTTTGACATGGATATGTCAATATTCTTGAGCATTAGGACACTGGAGTTGGAAGGAAAAATGTTTTTGGGGGTAGGGCAGATCTGATAGGTTCATAATCACTGAGTTGGTTCTTGTACACTCATGTATGTGAGGATGCCTTTTGAGTATACAGTGTTTTCAGGCTGATGTTTATCCACTTATCCCTTTGTTACTATTGCAAAAGATGCTTGAGAAACATAAAGTAGTAGTAATCATCATTAATAATCATTATTAATGAATGGCAAAGGGAAGAATTGAGTCCCTGCAACATCTCTTTTTAAGTGAGGGAACTGCTACTCCATAATTTGATTGTAGAGCTCCTGAAAAATTATTGAGCACATGTAAACAAATGTGGAGGCACTGTAAAGGGTTTGTTAAAAAAAAAAGAGAGGGAAGATATTGGAAGAAATTTCTTAGGTTTCACCCCCACCTACACACACCATGTAAAAATTTCATGCAAGACCATATATGAAATGGTCATATATTTAGCCAGTCTAACATATATTGCAATTCCTATATGAACATATATGTTTCATATATGGTGTTTGACACAAGTCACATAAAATCATATAAGAATGAAAATATATGGCCCCATATATTTTCATATATTGGCTCATACAATTGTACCATATATAAAGTTAAACATGTCTACATATGTTGAGAATGCCTGACTAATACCCACTTCATAAAAGGGTACATAATCCATATATTCGTTTTTCCTTTCTCATGTCAACTTCCTTGAAATTTCAGTCAGTTTCTGATTAAATGGAACCAGTGGAGGGGGGAGGGAGGGGAAAAGAGGGATGCAACTGAATACATGCATGAAAAAAGGGAACTGAAAAGTTCATGCACTGCTGCCCCAGAATTCCCATGCCCCCCCCCACATTTTTCATCCTCGATACACTTTTGCTATCTAGGGAGGATAGAGGTTTGAAATAAATATTTTGGGAAGTTACTTTAAAGCAGGGCTTCCCAACCTTTTTCATGCACAACCCCAAAAATCACGATCATATCATACAGGACCCCAAACACTGGCTGAAGTTCGACATGCTCTTCCACCTATGCCCTAAAATTGCAAAGAACAACATAACTTAGTATTTAGTTTCCAGTTTGCGACCCCATTTGGGGTCATGACCCATGGGTTGGGAAGCCCTGCTTTAAAGGTTATACATAGCTAATATTTCATGTATAATGTAATGGGTAAATAAAATATTACTTGCAGAGGCATCAGATGGTCATGGCCTTCATGTAAAGACCTCATGCAGTGGAAGCAGGGAGTGTAGATACTACCCTCTTCCCCCTCTGGCATCCCCTGGGATGGAGCTTGATACAAGGGGGTGGTATGGTTTTTCTCCCCCAGTGTCACTTGGGTGGGGTTTGAGGACTCCTCCCCCTCGGCTGCCCTACCCCCTCTGGCCCATGGACTTCATGCTGTGTTCACTAACAACCATAAGATTTGCCTGTGGATATTTACCACATGTCAGACATGATGTCATTTGCCCATCACACTTAATACTGCAATGCAGGTAAAATATATTAGAAACCATACAACTGTTAATATATGAATACATATATGGTGATATATGGCAAATATATGATCATACATGACCATGTAGAATCATACACCCTGTCATATATAGAATTTTCACATGGGACAAAGCAGTAGATTTACTCCATCAAAGATTGGAAACAACAGTCTTTCAATTTCTCCCTATTGTCACCTGGGTGTGCTTGGAGAACTTCAATTCCTCACCAATTGTGATCCTTAAGTTGCTTTTCTTTGGTTGCCTCCCCTAACCTGTCCTTACCAAATCCATTCAGAAACCATATGCTATCATTTCTAATTTGAAGAATCTTACATTTACTCTCATTAAGCTTTATTAGCCATTTTTTACTCCACTCAGCCAGAAGTTTCAAGTTCCTCCTGACTCTTGCTATGCAGTCAACTTGTGGGTCTCATGACTCTGAATTTATTCATTATATAAGTCTCTGCTATACATTGCACTTTTTCAGAATGCAAGTAATTTTGTTCCTGCTTCAGATTTTTTCAATATAGGTGCTGACAATTTTTATTGGAGCACCAGGAGTTTCATTCTCTCACCCATTTGATAGCTGCATGGCATGATATGAGAAGCAGAACATGAAGTTATCTGATTGCCCAATAGCAGTCAGCATTGCCAACATCTTGAATCAGGATGGAGCATGGAGGAGAGTCATGAATTTCCTGCGTCCTGAGTTCTACAAGTGAGAATACTTCCTCCTATAGAGCTCGCCCCTAAAAAAATTATATTCCAATATCCCTGAGTATATCCTCTTTTTTTCAGGCAGGAAGACATCATGAGATTTGAGACATTTAGCAGGTAAAGGTTATACCTTCATTGATTACTGCATATTTATTTTTCATCTTAATTTCTACTTACCTGACTACTTTTATTGAAACATAATATGAAGAGAAAAGAGGCTAACAAAGCAAAATAATGATACATTGAGAACCCATCAACTTTGAGACAAATCATGGCAACATGCTTGGAAAAGGAGATAAAAAATCTGGCACCTAACAATAAGGAATGAATAAAGATATAAAATGAAAGCCTTATTTCTTGCCTAGCTGACATGTTGGCTTAGAGCCTGCGTACCTGCTATTGCAAATTAATTCCAACCTATTAATTTTATATATGGTATGGTGAGTTTTTCAACTTACCTCCATATCTTGTTGTTACAATGATGAAACTCATTGTAGGTAAATGGAAGTCTCATTGAATCTGTTTCTAAAATATCACTAACAACCTCCATATTTTATGCATTTCTTATAGGCAAAACTCTTCAAAATCATGAAACTCCCACCATATTACCAAAAAGCTCAAGAAAACATTATTCTGACACTTTTCATATTCATCCTTTTAAGTTTTTTAAATAGGCCTAACTCTCAAATGCAAAATCTTATATTATATGGATAAAGAAATTATACACATTATGGAATTACATAACTAAATTATGTAATGAGAGATCTATGCTTTCAAGTTATATCTTATAAATTCCATAACAGAAAATATTGCATGTGCTTTCCTAATTCCTTAATTCTACATTAAATTTAGGACAACAGGGATGAACCCAGGAGAGCTTCTGGTGGATGACTTGAGTAAACAGGGACTCACTGTTGAGAATCTCCTTCAGATTGCACAGGCATTAGACTTGAGGCTTCTTCTCTCCTTCCTGTGTGAGACTGGTGTGTTGCCTTCCAGAGATCATTCAGGACCTCTCCCCTTTCCCCCAAATTTGAAACTCTTGTTTGTTTCAGGAGAGACTGAGGCAAGGAATGCTATCATGGCCCAACCTTCATATTCTGGTATGGTTATCAGTATTCTGAGTTATTTATGTTTCACTATTGTGTTGATTGACATTGCATATATGTTTCTTATAATTTACTGACGCACTCAAACCACATTTGTCCCTTTTGGAATTTGAATATGAATATCCTAGGAGATCTTGTGAGACAAAATAGAAAAAACATAAAATCTTAATGTGAACCTGAGGTGATAAATCTGAATCTCCTAGAAAGGATGTGCAGGCAAGCAGAGCATGCTAGCAAAGCCAGCTGACTGGTTCCATTAACCCCACCCCTCCCCCCACTTTAAAAATAAATTTATATATTTCATTAAGTTACTCTTAGTAAGAAAAATGAAGTTGAAGTCTGTTATTTACTGGCATAAGAGTGACCTTTACTGATACGTTTTCAATGCAGGACCAGACATGCTGGCCTCCTGAACTATGCATCAAAGTAATCTTCACTGTCTCATCTTTGGTTAGGGGCATTTTTTAATTTATACCTGCAGGGAAAATATTAACCTATCAATTAAAAAGACAATTTCCCATCACCTATGGAACACTCTATGATTACTTCTTGGAGAATGTAACTTGAAATTATAGCTAGTTTTCTTTGAAGAGTATCTTCCATGTCACTGACTGTATTTTCCTGCAGGGAAAGACTATATTTTCATGTGTTTTTGAGAATAATGAGAGTTGGTAGTTACAAGATAAGGAGCATGCTGTGTAGACTGTCATCAGGGTTTAAGTTACCCCCTTTCATGACATTTATGTTTTTGGTTTTCTTGTTTCTGGTTGCTTTCTTTTGCTTTTTTTATTGTTGGCCAGAACAAGGAATAGAGGAACTTTAGCCCACACTGTGCCTAGCTTTGAATAAGCATTGCTGCAAATGGTCTGGTCATGGGCCTTGAAATTTCTCTCCACCTCCTCTTTGCATCATAGGAATGTTGAGTCAAGTCAAGAATGACAGGCTCAGCATATACAGGGTATACTCCACCTGTGCACAGGTTTAAGCTTGAAGCTAAATAACCATGGATATTTATCTTAACCTCTTTCTATTTGTTTGTGACAGCAACATTCAAAGTGGCATTGCTGATTGCTAACAAAGACTATGAAGAAGGAACACATCACCAATTGACGAAACCCTGTGCAGATGTTCATGCCCTGGGCAACCAGCTGGATGACCTTGGGTTCCATGTCCTGGCACTCTTCAACCTCTCTTCCATTGAGATTCTCAATGCTATCACATATGTTGCAACCCACTTTGTTCTTCCTGGCTCCTATAGTAAGTCAAATAATTTAGCAATTTAATTGTGCTCTTCTGAGTCCCTACCTTACCTTCTCCATTTTCTGCTGCTTGTAACATTTCTTACTCTGTTTGTTTAGATATGATTCCCCTGCCATGCATTAACTTCATATCTCTTGCAGATCTAGAGACTTTGATTTCAAAAAAGCTGAGAAGGTTGAAAAGTAGTGCTTCTTTATGAAAATATTTTTATGCAATTAATAATGATCTGCCTGATCAGAAATTATTTATCAGTGAAACAAATTTTAATAGTACATTTTTTCTGAATCTGTAAAGGAAGACTAAATTCGGAAGGAAGCTAGGAATGCAACAACTGGTGCACATCTGTAAGCTGATCTAGTCATGTGAACTGAGCATAAACTTGAGAGAACATTTTAGATTTTGCCACATCACCCAATTAATTTAAATTGATCTTCAAATTGAATTTCTGGCACCCCACAAATAAATAAAATGAATGAACCTCTACACCTTGCTGAGATAATGCTTATTCCAAAGAAGATATGAGTGTATACTTGGATTTGGTTAATCATGATGAAGCATTTCACAATTAAAACTTTAATCAGCTAGTCTCATTTAATTGATGACTTTGTTGAAAAGAAGAGTTTGCAAAAAGTATGATTTTTTTCAATAAGTTTTTTTGCATTCAAATTGGATTTTTGAAACGTATATACAGAACGAGGTAAAAGTCTCTATACAGTTGTATAATATAGAACAGAGGCTAATTTCTAACATCTTATTGACTGTTGTTCAAAACAAAAGCACAAATAACACAGGAAAATGATTGTGCAATGTAATTTTAAAAGCTACCAGCTTCATCCAGCAGTATTACTCTGAAACAAAGAGGACCAAATTACCCAAATAGCTACTTTTAGTATACAAGAACTGTATAGTAACTTTTGCCCCACCCTGTATATTTTTCAATCTGTTGATTCTTTGCAGTTTTATGCTGCACCACTCTTCTCTTCACTATTCATGGATTTTGATAAGCACTGGACCTTCCTAGAGGATGCATAATTATGCATCTTATAAAGAAAAGGCCCCAGTCCTGTCAGCCCATGTACATCATGCTCTGACTTCTGTCTGATCAAAGCTCCCATTCACACCATCCTTTACTGTCAACAGTTTATTTTTAAAAAAGTTGCACAACTCAGCTAGCAAGTGCTTACAAGCTGCATAGAAAAAATCCAGCTGCCTGCACTTGCACAAAAGATTTAAATCTGTACAATAAAGGTTATCAGGTGTGTCGTAAGTACAGTAACCTAGTAAATTAAATTTTTCTTAAAATCTAGAAGAGGTATGTACTCAAAATTTTGTACAGTTCTACATTGGTCATGAGGTTAGGTTATGACGAAAAATCATTCAAAATGGCCACCATTGGCCTGAACTATAAGTTCAAGGCAGCCTTTGGAGGCCTCGGCCGTGGCACACATGTAGGAAATGGGCATTTTGGCCCACTTCTTTGTCAGGGCTGACTTGAGGGAGTCCAAATTTGGGTAGTTGATAGCACAGGCCTTGGTCTCCAAGTAGTTCCAGATGCTGAAATCCATGGGATTCAGGTCCGGGGATGAGGGGGCCACTCTTCCTTGCTCAAAAAGGCCAGAACGTGCTTTTTCAGCCATTTCTGTGTGGCCTTTGCAGTTTGGGTGGGGGCCCCATCCTGCACGAAGGTCCAGGCCTTTTTGCTGAACTTCTTCTTGGCCCAGGGGACCCCCATGTCCTCCAGAATGGATTTGACATGGAACTCCTTGTTCACCTTGACTCCAGGAGGCATGAAGATGAGGGGGGTCTTGACAGTGGCCGTTTTCCTGGTCCAGACCATGACAGAGGCTGAATGTTGGCGCTGGAAGGCTGTCTTCAGCTTCATGGGGACCTTGGAGATGTCCTTAGCAAAAACCCTTGTTGTTGTGGCAGTTGTGGATGCTCTGGACTGTGAAGTTCTTCTCCTCTGTGAAGTCCAAGTTCTTGAGCATGCCTTTTTTGAAGTCCCAGAGCATTTTTTTGGCACAGGCCAGCCTCTTGACCTTGGTTGGCTCTGATAAGCCTTGCCACTTCTGTGGGGAGTAGGGCTTCATCTTGAGGTCATCCTGACCATTCTCCTCATTGTGACCTCGCTCATGTTGCCCTCCTTTGCCATCTGGTGCATGCTTCTCAGGGGGTTCCAGTGAATCTTGACTTTGACAGTCATCAGGACTGCTGGAGTGTGTTGGGACCTTGGATGACCGCTCCTAGGATGGCTGCCTTCAATGTTATGTTCTACTAGGGTGGCTACAGTATCAGTCTCTTTGAATTGCTTCACGACTCTCCAGATAAAGACCTTGTTGATGTTGAGGTTCTTGAGGGCCATGAGAATCTCACTGTTACTACTTTTTGGATCTCCAGGATGGCATCTCATTTTGCATTCATTGTGCAAACTTTTTTTACTTGAAACTTTCAGTCTACTATTTTTTAGCATGTCAACAACATGAAGAAATGAAAAAAATAAAACAAATAGGAACTTTTTTTTACTAAACACACCCAACCTTTCATCATGCCATCACTGTGGTTACCGAACTTAAGGCGCACCTGGTAAATGGATTGACCATGCAAACGGAGCTCACAGTCCATTTCTATCTCACAGAAGATGATTGAACCACACCTCTCTCTCTCCCCCCTTCAATTCCCATTTCTCTCATTTTTCTTTGGATTTGGGAACCCTGCTTTCAGATCTGAGAAACTGGGAATGCTTTTTCTACCTGTTCCTGATTACTTACGTCACTATTCCTATTGTAGCTTCTACTTAGTTTTACCGGTAAGCATTTCATCATGAAGAGCTACATGAATAGTGTATTTAAGGCAACAAGCTAACAGAATCATTGTCTGTGTGATCCCCATCCTTGCCCACATGAATTACTGCAAGTTCCTAATTGTGCACAGAACAATACATTAACTATTGGGTCGATTGGAAAGTTCTGGCCGTTTCGAGAATTTTACAGGAAAAAAATTTATGGAACTTGCTATATAAAGCAGCTATTGCTTTATATAGCAGTATATAAAGGGTGTGTGGGCATGATTATGCAGCAGTTGCTTAGTTGTTCAAAGCCTATAACCATGACTTCCAAAATCGACTTTAACAAGACCGCCCAACGTCAGTGCCTTCTTTAATGACTTCCTATCTGGCATCACAGCAGCTGAATCAAGTCGCCGCATCTGCGCCATGTTTGGCCAAGGTGCAGTTTATGAAAGGACAGCACAACGATGGTTTGATCGTTCCTGGTGTGGAAATTACAGCCTTGAGGATGAGCCCAGGTCAGGCCACCCATCTGAAATTGACGACGAGCAGTTGCAGCACACAGTGGAAGCCGATTTGAGGCAAAGTACCCGCTACCTGTGACTTATGGTCAGCACTTGGCTGTGCCCAGTCCACAATTGTGATGCACCTGGCTGCAAGTGGCAAGAAGAGCAAATTGGGTCAATGGGTACACCACAATCTGACTGACCACGACTGCTGATGTGTGCACTTCACTGCTGTCGTACAAGTGCACAAACGACTGGCTGGATTCCGTAGTCACTGGAGACGAAAAGTGGATGCTGTACATCAACTACCGACTCAGGCGCCAGTGGGTCAATGGTGATGCCCAGCCAGAGCCGGAGCTGAAATGTGACCTGCACCCCTGAAAAGTCATGTTGTGCATTTGGTGGGACATGCAAGGTGTGATCTACTTCAAGCTGTTCCCACCCAATACTAGCATCACTGCTGCCTACTATTGCGATCAGCTGCAGAAGCTCACCGACAAATTCCGCACGGTGAGGCCAGGGCACTGTCATGTTCGATTCCTGCATGACAACGCAAGGCCACATGTCGTGAAGATCACACAGCAGAAACTGCTGGATCTGGACTGGGAGGTTCTGCCTCACACTCCATGTAGCCCAGATCTGGTGGCAACTGACTACCATCTCTTCCGCACTCTGGACAACCATCTTCACCAGAAAAGGTTCAATGATGATGCCAAGGTCGAAAACTGGCTGACTGATTTTTTTTACTCACAGCCAGCTCAATTCTACATGGATGGAATCAGGAATCTGCCTGATCGTTAGCAGAAGGTGATTGACTGTGATGGTGATTACTTCGTTGAATGAACTTTTTTGCTTTTTTAAAAAACTCGGTTGTATGGAATGTTCTCAAAACAGCCAGAACTTACCGATAGACCCTAGGGTCCAAGTAACCTCTAACCTTGGGAGACCCATTTTGGCTCTCATGGTAACTCTAAAGATCTGCTACACTAATTTAACTGTCACCACTTGGGTTTTTTGTATTCCCGTATTTCAAGACTGGAGTGCCAAGTTCTCAGGGGTGTCCCTTTCTGGACACACTGGAGTCTGCACTTGAAGAAAATTTGTCAGATTCTGTTAGCCTCAAGCCTGGGTCTCACATTTTCTTGTCTGCTTTACACTTGAGTGAATATATGAGTATTCTTCCAGACACTGGAAGGGTCTAGGATATCACAATTGGCCGTTGCTTAGTGGAGCTGGAATGTATACCAGTATACGGTATTTCTCTTCCAGTTGTGTTTTACTATTCGGGTCATGGATTTGACTGGGAGGGACAGTCTTGGCTGTTACCGGTGGATGGTTCTGCAGCTGTGCCCCAGAGGTTTATCGAGCAGGAGTTCCTCAAAAGAGAGCCTGCCCTCTGCCTTGAACTATTGGACTCTTGTCGTGTCCCTCCACCCATGCCCCCCAGGTAGAATTGTCATATACCAAGCCTCTTCTCTCCACCTGAAAACTTTCTCTTGTTCTGTCTTAACAATGATATTACTTATATTACTTGTAACTGGCAGAAAGATGAAGTGTTATCACTGGCATTTTTTCTTGCCAACTCTGAACTCTCATGAAGGAATTCTTTAAGTTTGGACAAACATTGTTTGCACTAGGTGGTCATGATAATGGTTAAACGTCTGAATGGACCCCAGTGGCCCATTCCTTGAGCTTGAGGTTGCATGAAGTTTGTAACTACAAAAGCTTTCTCAACTTATCTAATGACTGTAGCATCTCCTTGACAGGGAGGCATGGAATGTACAAGAGAGGTGCCCACCTCCACCAACCTTGGTCAAGTGCTTTGCTACATCATCCCTATCCCCCATCTATGAGAATATCTCAGCTTCCCTTGGCCCCTTTGTGGATCAACTCCACCGTCACGTCTCCCGACCAGTGCCTGTTGTTGACATGCTCCAGGCCACTCTGCAAGGTCTACCTTCATTATGTGGAAAACACTCCTTTTCTCAGTGATTTTAAGAATTTATTTGTATGTCTTCCTATTATTATTGATTTTCATATCAATTTTTGTTATGCAGCATTCCAGAAATCAGAGCCCTACTGTGTTCCTTCTTTGGAGAGCACACTCCAGGAAATTGGACGAAGTCTCACTGATCCTGGTATTTTTAGCTGCTCTGCCAATATTCTAATTGAGAATTCATATTTCCAAGGCTGGATAAAACTTTATAAAGGATTTTCCTAGTTTGCTTTTTATGAAATTCAGCTCTAGGCAAAAACCTTTATCTTTTCACAGTCATCAATGAGAGTCCTGAGAAGCGGCAACAGATCCAAGAATTGTGCGCACCTCCAGCTGATATCACCATATCAGGTGTAGAAATCTGGTTCAGCAAGTTGCGAGACACATTCTGTAATGCCCTCCAGATTCATGTTTCTCGGCCAGTTATGATCATGCATGTAAGACTGATAGTGTAGCTTCAATTTTATGTGGCACAAAGTTATTCTGTTCCATTTATACTAGTGAATTTCGTTTTATATTTGATTTCAGAATGAAATCCCACTAACAGTAATGGATGAGTCTGGAATGGTCTACTGCCTTCAGGGTCTTCAAAAAATTAAGGTAAGAATCATTGCAAGTATCCTGAGACTGATATCAATAGTAAAAACTTGTACCAAGAAGCCATTTATTAGTATTTGACCACAATCATGTTCCACTTTGTAGGCTTTCACAAAGAGATCTGCTTCTCTCCTACCCAGAGTACTTAGTACTGATACAAAGAAAGGGTACAAATGTGAAAACTGTTCAAGGCCCTACATTAAGTAATGTATTCCTGTGCAAGTTTCTGCTACTGATTCTCTCAAGGAATAATGAAATATAGATGAATCAAGACTGCATTCTCATTTTATCCTTTGCAAAATGTGTGACTTAGGGTGAGGTGAAGCTGAATGTGGTTGTAAACAAAGAAGTACATGATGTGAATCTGAAACCTTTTATGGCCAGCAAGATGAATCTTTGGCTGAACCATCTCAGCAGTTCCACCCAAGTCACCAGGTGACAATGAAACATTACAAATCCTATTATGTGACTGGAAAAAGTGGTCAGTTCAACTTCATCTTCATGTGATGGTTTGAATGTTTTCCTTATTATAAAAGGCATTTCATTCAACTGATTCAATTTCAGACATACATCTTAAAGGTCACTGCCACACCACAAATGTGTGTTGGTGGTGGGAATCATCCAATCTTATGAAATTTCAGAAAACAGTGAATTGGTCAGTTTTCTACAGAAAAATTGAGCTTTTCAAAAGTTGAGTTCATTTTAGAACTTAAAATTGGGATTGGCAGCATTGCTTCAAATACCTAAATATAAGTTTTGACTCTTATATCAAAGATGAAGGTGCATCATGACAGGAATTTTCTATCTTTATAGGGCTGCTGACTATAAAACTGTTCCAACAATTGAGTTTGTGTGGCAAATACAGGTATTATTGTTTTCAGTGTATATTCATGTGATGAGCCTAGCAGAGTTTTAAATACATCTCAACATTAAAAGTAGTGTCTTTTTTTAATAACTATTTATGCAAATTAGTATATTTAAACACAATACTGCTATATTTTGCCCTACTCAACACTTTTTTTTAGCTGAAGCTCTGAGAGGTATACAACAGATGATGGCTTGTAGGGTAGCTATTGAAAGCTTACTTCTTTTCTCCATTTGCTCAAAAGTGGTGCAAGGAGGAATGGAGCTGCTTATGGAAGACTTCTTTGGCAAGCGCTGAATCCACAAAATGAAGTACACCTGCTGAATAGCCTGGGCTAAAACTGTCCCACCCTCATGTATTTTCTTGTAGTAATCAGCTAGTACCATCCACAATGAAAAGTCACATAAAACACATTGAAATAGTCCACATGAAAGGAGACATATGCAATAGGCCTACTGAAAATTTCCAGGTGATGTGCCTAATTTTCAGTGTTAAGAAAGATATGTAGCACTCACCTTTTAGGTAGCTAAGGGTTTCTTTTCTGTTCATGAATATTTCTGCATGAAGATCTGCTTTCAGCCTCTAAATTCAGGCCTTTGACATTCAGTGTGTAGTCTGCATTGAAGAACCTTGATGGTCTTCATGAGCCAAAGTGAGAATGTGATAAATAAAAAGGTACAAGTTGCCATTCAGTAAGAATGAATAAAAATTATTTGTTGGTGCCTCTAAGATTTTGCATATTTGGACATCTGCATATGTATGTCTATTTCACCTATTTTCTCTACAAAAATATTAATTTTTTTACCAGAAAATATATTTTCATTATGAGCAAGAATAAAAATTTTCCAGTAGCCACATAATTTTATCAAGCTCCCCCCTTTTCATTTGTGGAAGTAGAAGCCTGGTGATACAAAATGCAAATTGTACTCTCCTCTTCCAAAGAACGCATTCTGGGTTATAAAATACATATTTTTCCATTATCTTGTATATTTTATGCATATATTGCCACTTTTAACGCATTGACGTTGGAACTTTTTAACACATTTTAAAAAATTGGTTTTTGCCTTTTTTTATTACCAAAAAGGCATGATAGCTTGGATTAGTGCCACGATGTTGGTCCCATGCGAGCAAAACGGTGTAAACCATCGACTTCCTACTCGTAAGGATCCAAGGGTGTCTGTTAACGAAAGTTTGGAAATTTTGTTTCTCCGGTCAGTACCCAAGTAACACAAGATATTCCAGCAACGTTTAGGAAATGTTGATGAACAATGTTGCACCTATGTGTAAATGTCCAATACGTCAACGTTCCTCAAATGTTGCTAAGGAACATTGCAATTACGTTGAAAATCGCTACTTATTCATTACA